TGGCTAGGGAGAGGATATGAGATTAAAATGATCTCATCAATGTCTGAGTGGGTTCAATGCAGCAAGGGGATCTCTCTATGAAATGATCAAACTTTGGCAGAATGCTCAAGAAGCTGATCACGGTCAAAGAGCTGGTAATGGGATTGGAATTCAGGTTCAACAAGCTCAGGTTCATCAGGGACAAGCTCAGGGTAACCAGAACCAAGACCGACCTCAGGTTAATCCACCACAGCCCCACCCAAACCCACCCAGACGTCTTCAGCCACAACCGGTCTATGTTGGAGAGAATGACCAAGCCAATGCACATCAGCATCGTGCAGGAATTCAAGTTCCACCGGTTGAAGCCAACGACTTTGAGGTTAAGGCATCCCTCCTCACCATGGTTCAAAACTCTAAATTTCATGGACTCCCCATGGAAGATCCTCTTGATCATCTAGAGCAGTTTGATAGGGTGTGCAACTTAACTAAGATAAATGGAGTCTCTGAAGATGGTCTCAGAGACTCCATTTATCTTAGTTAGAGAGCTGTATTTGCTAGAGAATTGTGAGTTCCTATCGTATGAGTTTGAGTCAATGATTGCAAAACTTCCTTTTCTCGTCAGCAACGATTTAGCTTACGATGTGTTTCAGAGCCCTCGTCCAAACGAGTATTTTACAGAGAGCCAACAAGGCATTCCAATGGTTCTCACTTATTCAATCAAAAAACAAAAAAATATCTGTAATGATTAAAAATCTAAAATACAAAGAAGCCTTTAGTCCTTTGATCCAAATAAGAGTTTAAAAGCAGAATTTTGTTTTTGATTTATTAAAGTTTCTAAGATGGAACGGAAAGAAGTCTGGCTACGAGGTCTGAGTATTAAGTATGAATCATAGTTCAAATACTTTATGATCTATTTGATCTATTTCGTGCTCCAGATACTCGAAACAAGTAGTAGCAATCTAGAAATAGAGTGGAAAGCTTACGGCTAATGCTACATCTTTCGCCTGAATCAAATCATTATCTTAAAGAGTACTCTAAGATAAGAAAGTAGCTAGCCGGGAAGTTTAGAGATTGAATATCTCCTAAACCAAAATCGATCTCGGTCTGATTCCAATTCTCTGTGATTCTATGATGAGTCAAAATTCCAGAAAAAGTCGGTTTACAGCTTAATTCCTCTTGGTTTAGTTGGACTTCTCCAATTAAGGCGGATATGTCTAAATTGGGTGAGTTGAGGATCACCCAATTTATAAACTTAATATCTCCTTCATCTGAACTCCAATTGGACTGTTTCCACTTTGAGGTGTGCTCTGGCTGAGCTAGGAATGTAATCTAAGTGGTAGTTGGGTTGGAACACTTGTTCTTGGACTTAATTTGGCATGGACAAGACTTGTGGCTCTTTTTGGGTTGAGTAGAGTCTTCAATAGATTGGTTGCCTCCTCTTTTGTTTGGTTCGGTTAAGATTTAGTGATCTAATGGCTTCTTGGTGATGGGATAGGAGTCTAGAGAGAACAAATTAATGACAGTCGTTTCTCCTTTGCCATTAACTTGTTCAACAAGGGAGATCGTCTCTCTTTTACCCTGGGCTAGACTCTCATGTCTGTTGTACCTAGTTCTTCCAAGTGTTGAGATCACCATGACTCGTCTTGATGGGTTGATGTCCGCATCAAGAACCCTGCATGACTGATGCGGTGCTGAGTGTGTCAACTACGTGAGGGAACAAGTTTTACCCTTAACAAACAAAAGAAAGCCGCAAGTGCACAGCTAATCAGTTGCAGTATTTAGGGATCGAATCCACAGAGATTTGTGTGCCTGGTATTCTTCTACGGTTTTTAACTTTATGTCTAGACTAAATTGGTTTTAAAGGTTGGTTGTTTTTCTTGCAAATTAAACTAAAACAAAAGAAAGTAAATAAATCTATCCTAAAAAGCAAGTAAAGAAATCGAATGAAATGCAAATGGAATAAGTAAAATATCGAACTAAACGAAAATAAGGCAAGTAAAATATCGCATGAAAGGTAAATAAGGCAAGTAAATACGAACTAAGGAAATTGAAATGCATGTCTAAGAAAGCAAGTAAAAATCGATGGAATTGTAAACTATGGCTAAAAACGCTGAGCTTTTGGGAACTCTAAGGGATCATAATCGGTTTTAACAATAAGGTAGATAGATTGGGATTGACGGATAACAATATATGGGTTCTAGAGCTAGAGTACGGCGGTATGACGACGTCACTGTCGTTATCATAACCAACTGTTTCTCGCAACCCTGACCAGTAGGTTTCCACTCTGGCCCTGGAAGGGAGAGAACGCAAGAGCTGCATAAGACTCGTCAATACTCACGATCTCGCCGCAGGTAGGTTTCCACTCCTACGGAAAAATCGCCTGTTTCATTCTAGGGCTGATACTTAATGAAAACTTTCGCAACACTAACTATCTAGATCAGATACTAGGTGATCAATCAAGCATAAATGCAATAAGAACAAGAATAAACAGAGAACAGGTCGAAATCCCAGATCTATAAACCTAGATGTCTTAATCGATTATGAGAGCCCCTTTTGGGAACCCTAAGCCCAACTCGGGATCTACTCAGACATGGCTGAGTTCGACATCATCATTGGTTTTAATAAAAGTAATGAAAAACAATAAAGAAAAGAGATAAAGAAAGCTTCTCTATTGAAGAACTCGGACTTGAACAATCTTCTACAAAAATCTCATAAAAACGGCTAAAGGAAAAAGGTTTATGTAAAGTATGAATTGCTCTCTCTAAAAACGACCTAAATGACATGTATCTATAGTCTCCAATACTCCATGGTCTCTAGGGTTCCGGAATTGAGGCTGGGAATGACTTTGGGCTTCAGATAAGTGGGCTTTAAGTCGGAGCTTGAAAACCGCGGTCGGGAGTGCTGTGACCGCGGCAATTGGCTTGTTTCCTGCGGTCGGGAGGCTTCTGACCGCGGCAAATAGCTTGTTGGCCGCGGTCGCGTGAGTTGCTGGCTGACTCCGCGTGGCTTCGGGGCTAATGGAATATCTTGAGATCCAACCATTGGAATGTCTCCAAACCAAGTGCATTTGAAAGCTGGTTGATTCTTCTATAAGTTGTCCAATTTTGAGGGTGATCAGACGGTGAGAAGGTCTTCGTCTCTCTATGAGAGTTCTGACGGTCTGCATTTATCCAAAAGAGTCTTTTTGTACCATTTTATGCCTTTTTATCCCAAATTACCTGAAAAGTCTTTTAAAATCCGGAAACATAGAAATCCTTTGAAAACCTTTGAAAATGGAGTAAAAACACCTGTAAAAGATATTAAAATGATCTATAAAAATGGTCAAAATCCGGTGTTATCAATGACCCAAGAAGTTTCTGATCCCTTTCACTGATTTTGGGGCTTCTAGATTGACCATCACCTCAACCTTTGCTTTGTCCACCTCAATGCCTGCCTCTGATACCTTGTGTCCAAGCACTATCCCTTCTTGCGCCATGAAGTGGCACTTTTCCCAATTCAGAACAAGGCTTGTTTCCTCACAACTCCTCAAGACCTGAGAAATATTGGACAAACGTGAAGAGAAGGAGGATCCATAGACTGAGAAATAATCCATGAATACCTCAACCTTCTCTTCTATTAGATCAGAGAAAATATGCATCATGCACCTCTGATGAAAGGTTTCTGGTGCATTGCATAAGCCGCAGGGCATTCTCCTATATGCATATGAGCCATATGGACAGGTAAATGTTGTTTTCTCTTGATCTCTGGGGTCTATTGGAATCTGAAAGAACGCAGAGTACCCATCTAGAAAAAAAAATAGGGATGATTAGCTAACCTCTCTAACATCTGATCAATGAATGGTAAAGTAAAGACACCGTACCCATCTTGAGTCAGAGATTGGGTAAATAGTCCTTGCCTCAAGCAGTTTGAATATCTCCTTCTTAACCACCTCTTTCGGGTTGGGGTTAAGCCTCCTTTGGTGCTCAATAGAGGAAATTGACTGGTCCTCTAGGTGTATTATGTGGGTACAAACATCACGAGATATTTCTTTTATATCAGCAAGAGAATAACCAATGGCTCTCCTAAACTTCCTAAGCTCATTTAACAGTGCTTTATCTTCATGATCTAGCAACCTATCATTGATGATGACATGGTAAGATGAGTTAGAGCCTACGAAAGCATACCTGAGCCCTTTTGTAGAGGTTTGAGCTCAACAGGGGGTGCTTTGGTCTCATCCCAATCCTCCATGAAGCTCTTTTGATCAGCTTCTGGTCCAGGGCTGTTGCCTTCTAGCCTTTGTTCAGGTCCCATTTGTCTTTGCCTTTTGAACCTACACCGGGTTCCACATCGAGATGATACACCCCGGTGCTGGTTCTTTCTCCCTTTGTCTCGCCAAAATACTCCAACACCGGTCTTGAATTAGCCGATGTCATGCCTGGTGCTGATCCTCGTGTAACTTCTTCAGATTTTACACCGAGTTGTGCACCTGGAAGATGCAGATGGGTGCTGAAACTGTCTAGGCTCCTTTGTTCTTCAAGCATGTACACCGGGTGAGCTTTGTCCGATGTTGATCCCGGTGTAATCTCCTCCTTGTGAAAATTTCCAACACCAAGGTTTATAATGCTGGTGCTAAGCTCGATGTAAACCTAATTTGGACTTGTTGTAGTAAAAACATCCCACATCGGACTTGTTATAGCCAGTGTGCTCCTCGGTGTTGGCTCCTTCTTCCCTAAGTGATCATTTACAGCAGGTTCCACATCGGCTAGATGCACCCCGGTGTTGATGATCTCCTGATACTTAGGCGTTTTTGAGCTCCCAAGCCCTTCGACTAAACCCTTGTAGCTTACCTCCATGAAAGAAACATTGCTTCCCTCTGGTTTGTGTGAATCAAGAAGCTTCATAAACCCCAAGGTTTCATCTTCTAGATAACCATACTCACAATGTTCTTTTGTTAAAGCTATTTGGAGAGGGTCCTCAAGGTTTAACTCCTCCAAAAGCTCATCAGCAAGCTCATCCATGGCCTCTATGTAGAAGACTTGACCTTATATTGTAGGCTTCTTCATCATTTCCTTTATATCAAACTTAAGAGTTTCTGATCCAATGTGCAACTCAATCATTCCACCTCTTACATCAATGATTGCTCCAGCTTTTGCAAGGAAATGTCTACCCAAGATAGGTGGATCTACTGGTTCCTCATCCATTTCTAAGACAATGAAGTCAGTGGGGACTTCAAAGCCTCCTACCTTAACAGGTAGATCTTCAAATAAACCTATGGGAAGCCTCACTGATCTATCAGCTAGTATCAATGATATCCTTGCTGGCTTGTAGGTATTGAATCTCAGATTCTTAGCAATAAAGTAAGGCATCAAACTCATTGAAGCTCCTAAGTCAGATAGGCAGCTTGCAAATTTCAAAGGGCCAATAGTGCATGGCAGAGTAAAGCTCCCTGGATCAGACAGCTTCTGAGGGACTGTCCTCCTTTGAATTATGGCACTGCACTCATGACTTAGAATCACCATTCCTTGTAGCTCTTTTGTCTTGTTCAAGATAGCATCTTTTAGGAATTTCCCAAGCTGTGGAACCATAAGGAATGCCTCTATGATGGACATAGTGAATTGAAGTCTTCTCTAGTTTCTTCTCAAAGACAGCTATGACCTTGCCTAAGATTTGCTTCTTAAACCTCCCCGGAAATGGAAGTTTAGGCTGGTATGGTGGTGGTGGAACATAATGTTTTTCAGGCACCACTTCTGGTTCCACCTCTTTACTCTTATCATTCTTTGCAACTTGATCTTATTGCTCACTCTTTTAAGCTGCCTCCTCACCAACTTGCTCATTGTCTTCAATGAGCACTGTTCTATGTTTGGTTTGTAAACTATGGCTAAAAACGCTGAGCTTTTGGGAACTCTACAGGGATCATAATCGGTTTCAACACTAGGGATTATAGATTTGGATTGACAGATATCGAAATATAGGGTTCTAGAGCTAGAGTACGGCGTTATGACTATATCACTGTCGTGATCATAACCAACTGTTTCTCGCAACCATGACCAGTAGGTTTCCACTCTGGCCCTGGAAGGGAGAGAACGCAAGAGCTGCACAGGACTCGTCAGTACTCACGATTTCGCCGCAGGTAGGTTTCCACTCCTATGGAAAAATCGCCTGTTTCATTCTAGGTCGGATACTTAATGAAAACTTTCGCAACACTACTTATCTAGATCAGATACGAGGTGATCAATCAAGCATACATGCAGTAAGGACGAGAATAAACAGAGAACAATGTTAAAATCCCAGATCTATAAACCTAGATGTCTTAATCAATTATGAGAGCCCCTTTCGGGAACCCTAAGCCCAACTCGGGATCTACTCAGACATGGCTGAGGTCGACATCATCATTGGATTTATTAAACGCAATCAAAAACAGTAAAGAAAATAAAGGAAAGAAAGCTTCTCTATTGAAGAACTCAGAGTTGAACAATCTTCTCTAAAAATCGCATAAAATGGTTGAAGGAGAAAGGGTTTTTGTAAAAGTATGAAGGTGCTGTGTAAAAACGACCTAAATGACAAGTATTTATAGTCTTCAATACTCCATGGTCTCTAGGGTTCCGAAATTGAGGCAGAGAAATGACTTTGGGCTTCAGAAATATGGGCTTTTAATCGGATTGGCTGGCCGGGGTCGGGAGTAACGTGGCCGTGGGAAATAGAGGCTTGGCCGCAGTCGTGCAGCTCGTGACCACGGTGGATGGGTCGGTGGCCGCGGTCGCGTGACTTGCTGGCCGTCTCCGAGTGTCTACAGGGAAAATGGAATATCTTGAGATCCAACCGTTGGAATTTCTCCAAACCAAGTGCATTTGAAAGCTGGTTGATTCTTCTATAAGTTGTCCAATTTTGAGGGTGATCAGACAGTGAGAAGGTCTTCGTCTCTCCATGAGAATTCTGACGGTCTGCATTTATCCAGAAGAGTCTTTTTGTTCCAATTTGTGCCTCTTTATCCCAAATTACCTGAAAAGACTTTTAAATCCAAAAACATAGAAATCCTCCGAAAACATAAAATGGAGTAAAAACACCTGTAAAAGACATTAAAGTGATCCATAAAAATGGTAAAAATCCGGTGTTATCAACTTCCCAGACTTAGTCTTTTGTTTGTCCTCAAACAAAACAAAGATCAAATCTCGGTGAGAGGTTTGAAAACGCAGGAACTAAATAAAGTCTCAGAGACCAGATTCTAGACCAATATCAGTCATTATGCATCAATCTGGAATAGCCTAGAAAATTCTCACTAGAAATACGGACATAACTAGTCCGTTAATCCGTCATGCGGAAATCTATTGCACTAAGATCTAACTTCCAGTCAACTAGCCCTTAACATTCATTAAACATTTCGGTGGTTCTTATCAAAGAAAGTGTAAGCGAGGCAATCTAGGCTAGGTATCAAAAGGGTTATTCTAGGGGTAAGGCTTAAAGTGTTTATGGGTTACCTGAAAATCTGGAGGTTACAAGATATTATGCAAAACCACAAGAGAGAGTGAAGCTGTTGATATCCAAAGTTTTCAGTCACTTTCTTCTTGTTATAGATTTCTGGTCTTCTTCCTCATTTTCTCTCCTAACTCCCCCAGACTTAAATCTTGTAAATCTTTCAAAACCATAGCTCTTTAAACAAATAGTGGTTGCTTTTTGCTCCAAAAATTTTGACAATCTAAGACTCATTAGGCTTTTTGTTTCCATCTCTTTCATTTTAATTTTTTTTAAAATTTTTTTATTTTATTTATTTTATTTTTTTGGACGAAAGAACACCTTTAGATATAGAGTCATACAGAGCACAAAATTACCAATAAAAATGAGTCTTGTAAAGCTTAATAAGGTTTCTGATACTCTTCCTTCCCAATTACATTCAGTCTTCCTCTTGAGTGACTAAAAACTGCGTCGTTCCTCTTCTCTCCGACGTTTTTGCACATATCTCCTGATATAAACTAAAGAGAGAATGCATGAGGATTGAAAACAAGGGTTTTGGGTTTAGGGTATAGTACCAGATAAAGATGAACTGGCCATCTAGGACGACAAAGGGTAGTAAAAATGAGGGTAAAAGACGTCATAGATGTATGTCTCGATGCCTGCCTAAAATCAATGATGAGAAAATTAGATATCAATATTAAGGTCAAATAAAATGAGCTAGTATATCGTGTTAGAAAGAATCTCCATGAATAGAAGTCCTCTGGTGGGAGTTCGTAATGCAAGTACTCTAGCTACCGCCTAGTCTAGTGCTAACCACAAATGAGCTATCATGCGTAGTGTAGAAGCGTGCAGGTCTAAATCATCACAATTTTGTGTCAAACATTCCTGAAAAATACTTAAGGTCGAATAGGTTATATATTAAAATTTAAGAAGTACTTGAAATTTTAAAAACAAAGCAAGAAAATGATTAGTACGAATAGACATCCTCCCCCAGACTGAAATCACATTGTCCCCAGTGTGAAAAAGTTGGTGAGAAAATGATGAATAAAAGCGAAAATAAAATAAGATAAAAGAAAAGAAAATGATGATAGAACCGTGATGGCTGTCAACTGACAATGAAGTGCTGATCAATCACTCATCCTCCGATGTGCTTCGAAATGGTGGTGCTCCTATAGGAAGGTGACGACGCACTCAAAGCGTCGTCCTTGTCTCTCAACTCTGCGTTCCAGATCGGAATGTGTGTGTGATGATGTCGATGATGAAGTGTGGCTGGTGGAAACAGATGGCTAAAAGTGAGCACGTGTTGCAGCTGCGTCACGCTTTGCCTTGGCCACTATGTATTGCCCGATAGTGAATGGTAGAAGAGGTACAGAGGGTAAAAACTCATCAGGTTTCGGAGTCCATCGCAGACGTCCTTCGTTACACAATTTTGGTACTGATGCTGCAGGTAAGCAGACTCGGTGCTCTTCGGTGCGAGTGCAATACTTGTAACCGAACCTGTCTGGATCGAAAGTGGCACGAGAGATAGTGTGATCTCGAGAGAGATAAAGTAGGTCATACCACACGTCTGGAAGTGGATCATCAGATGAGAAATCAAATCCCACAGCCTGTAGTATTGCTGTAATAGCGCTCCCATATGCTGGAGTAGCGTCCTCACAACCATGTAAATCATACTTCACCTTCACCATGTTCTGTTCTATGATCCAGGCAAAAAAGGCAAGTCGGGGGTCGTCCATAAATGGTATCTGAAGTGTAATGAGCTCGGTTTTCAAAACACATCCCATGTTGGCTCTAGAGAAAATCGCGTGTGCTAAGAGTTTGTGCACAACTCTCACTGCAGGATGAGTAAGAAGGGCTGACTTGGATCTCCCGCTATCATAGACGCCATGACCCATGTCTCTCCATGAGTCAAAATCAGTTTCTTCTTCGAGGTGAATGCCATTAGTGTATGGAAGCTTAAGAGCTTCACAAAGTGCAGAAATGGTAAGTGAGTAGGTCTGTCCATGGATAGAGAATGATAGAATGTCGTCAGATGCTCTGGGGCTCCTTCTCTTCGTGTGGTGGAGGATGACGGTTACTAAGAAATTGCGGACTAGCTCTGCGTAAGTTGGAAGGTTCAGCTTCATGTAGGGTCTCAGTCTAAGTGCATCAATGTACCAGATTACATCTTCTCTAATCCCAAGCATCTCGAGTGTATGATAATCGATGCAGGGCGTTGGATTGATGTTCAGCTTTTTGAAACGCCTTGCATAGTCCACTCTCCGGTTGATCTCTTTCCCAATATATCAAATCTGTGGTGGCTCGGGAATCGCTCGTGTTTCTCTTGAGTGTTGGAGCAGCCTCATCACATAATTTCTTCTTCTCGGTCTGGCTTGGTTCAACATGTACTCTCCAAGAGTATTATCATCGGAAGTTTCCTCAGAGCTGTCACCAGTGCGACGGCTTCTTCGGGACTTGGTTTGTTCCATTTTCCTACAAGACAAGATGATTCTTGGAAAAAGAGTGAATGTGGATGCTGAGTTTAACTTATTCACGATCAGTGATACTAATCATACTATCAAAAGATTAGTTAAAACAACAAGCAAGCATTATTGATATTTAATCGAAAAAATCGAGTAGTTCATGACCAGATTCGGATTTTTGATGTTCTCAACATAGGAATCTTCTAAAAATTGGTTTAATTGAGCAAATTCCATGTCAAATCTATAGGTTACCTAACACCAGTCACTAATCACACAAGACTTGATTAAATTCATCAACTTTGCTGTTCCAAATTCGACTTTTACAAAGCATGTAGAATCCAAATTTCAAAATTCTCAATTCCTCTAAATCTAGGAGCTAAAATCGATTTCCAGGCAACCTAAAAGAATAATCTATTGTTCTTAAGCTATTTCCACCACTAATAAACCAAGATTTGGACTTTTTAAGAAAACCCTAAGTTCCAAAATCAATTAAAAATGACGAGTTTGAGCTTCACACCTTGTTGGTGATAACACCGTATTTTGACCACTTTTATGGATCGTTTTGAAATACTTTTTCTATGTTTTTAATTGCTTTTAAGTACTTTTATTACGTTTTTCTAGTATTTGTAGTTCCAAGACTCTTTTCAGGTAACTTAGGGAAAAGCTTAACAAAATGGATAGAAAACCAGATTTCAGCT